TCAGAATAAAGAAAATGATGTTCACTAAAGGGAATAAAAATAGATATGTCACCTTCAAAAAAACATTTCATTTTACATATACATTCACTAGTGACTAGCTTCCTGAGGAAATTCTCGGAGTTCTAGTTGAGAAGACGTGACCAATGGAGTTCAACCCTGTCGGGTGTAGACAGTAACTACCAAAGACAAATGGGTGAGGTCGCGCGAAATCCCTAGATCAATCAGAGTTAGACATTGGATGCCGGCCGAGTGGTACGACGGTTAGGCGTTCGCGCACAATACCGAAGGTCCCGGGTTCGAATCCTGAGAGGTGCAGGAGTCGTGGATGTGCACTGCTGATGAGTCCCATAGCAGGACGAAACGGCCGTCTTTCAGTGCTTCCAGGTTTCTAATGGTGGTCTAACAATGATTGATTGATGATTTCCAATACGTAATAAGAAAAGGAGACTGGTTGAGAGCTACAAGTTTTGTTGAGTACATCTTCCAAAGAATCTAATGCTCCACAGGACGAAACTTTTTTTCATGATTCGACAGCATTTTTCTAAAAATCATGGTTGAATTTCATCAAGTTTCCTTCCAAATAATACGTTCACATTATGGTTATCCGTGAAAGTGTAAATGTATCGTCTGATTTGTCAACTGAATGTATCTGCCTCCTAGTGTGGATGGATGCCTAAATAAGAGATTAAAATTCAATACTTTCTTTTTAAGTCGAAACCCTACAAAGTTATCCATTGAACTTTTGAATCTAAATTATGATTAACGTGTTTGAGAGGCTATGTAGTTAGATATGTAAGGGTTTAAAGCTTACCAGTTGTTAATGTTAAGGACAACTTACTCATAGGCCTCCGAGCAGAATATTAGGGATTATCATTGAATTAATCGCTATAGTCATTTATGTATTTTAATATCATTCTCCACAGAAGTCCTTCATTTTCTCTATATTATGTAATCAGTACATAGCATCTTTGAAATATTCTAGAACTGTCAGCTAAAATAAGTGTAACTCTATCCTGGAGTTATAATTCTTTTCTTATAACTAACAGTTCGGCATTCGAGAAAAATTTTTATTTTACTTGAGTTAAAAATAAAATCATAAACGGTAATGGATGAGGTTAGGAATGATCAATAAAAAAAACATTTTACCATTTATATGACTGAAATGAATTCATTTCATTCTGTGAATATAGTTATTTCTTTATTTAGCCTGAAGTTTGAAAAAAGGGAGCTAACGGTATATCATAACTAGAGTTTCATTTTCGAGCTGGATATCTTAGTTATGGAGTTGGCTTTCAACACAGGATAGGATCGCCAACCCTCTACCTCGGCAGGGCTATGCTTGGAGTTTTGTACAGATGATAAATTGAAAATAACTTTTGGTTAATTTATTTAAACAAGTATACATTAATGCTTTAAATTTGAGCAAACCTTAAATGCATGACTCTATCAACGAAATTCTCAAGATTTAACGCTTAGAACACGATAACATAATTCAAAATCTAAGAAACATTCCTGTTTGAAAATTTACCAGTTAACTTCAGTACTTTAACTTTAACCTAACAAATAAATACATTCTGCTAGAACGAGTTGAAGAATATCTGGAACTTAAAATAACTATCGAAAAATATCAATACGAACGTCAGTGCAGTTCTACTGTATAGCATGGAAACTTGGGGAACCATGAAAGCCATCATACACAAAATCCTGGTGTTTGTTAATATTTGCTGACGCAACAAACTTCGGATCTGTTGGTGTTAGGGGATATTCATCCAATATCCTAAGAGAATTATTGGTCAATTCCTACTGGTCAAGTTTATGGTCGTCCTGACTATCAATGTCACGTACTGCAATGTTGTTTCTTATTGGTTGTCCTGACTATCAGTGTCACTTCAAATGTTGCTTCCTATTGGTCGTCTTAACTGTCAATGTCACAAATTTCGACCTAAATGTATAAATATGCATTATCTGTAACGTGTTAAGACCTGGATCCCTATCCTCTTCTGGACTCGGACCTCGTACTTTCTGGATGCTTGTAGAATACAGGTTCCACTTAATATCGAGTCTTCTTTTATTCAATGGGGGTTGGGATAATCAGATTTGAGTAGTATATCGTGCCGCCGGATCCTCGCTCTCGTATTCCAACTAAGGTAAACTTGTAATAGTTTAAGCATATCAAATTGACGTGTTTACGTGCATGCGTAACAGTTGGCCAGACACCATTAACAATAATCTACTTTGGGACAGAAAAAACCAGATTCCATCAGATGAAGCGCTGAGAGAGGATAGGATACAAATTGAGGAAATCATCTAACTGCATCACAAGATAAACCCTCACTTGGAATCTATGAGGTCAAATAAAGAGTTGAAGACCAAAGAACACATTACATAGAGAATCGGAGACAAAGAATAAACACAGCAGTCAGCTATAACTAGAATGGAAGGCTCAGGACAGAGTCGATTGGAAAATTACTTGTAAGCGGCCTATGCTTCACTGAGGGGTAATAGGCGTAAGTAAGTAAGTGAGTACTGATAATCAATATCACTTGAACTCTCATTTTATTACAGGAAAATAATCTAGCCAATATTGAATGGTTTATTTAAAACTGCTATAACATAACTTGTTAAAATAAATTTGCTTGAAAAATGTATTATATAGGAATGTAAATATGTTCCCACAAAATACTGTAAAAAAAGAAGTACGCAATCAGTTACCTATTACTACTACTACCATCACAATTACTAAGTTTTTTTACATAAATGATGTAACAAATGAAAATCGTAACCAAAATCCAATATCAAATCTATTCAATACTCTATAATTACATTTGATAAGCACTTGATGGTGTAAATGTTATTTCAGTCATTTATTTTCTGTTTTTACTAGGAAAAAGAAACAACAACACATAAAATCTAATCCACTGTACACACTTGTTAAGTAGTGTCGATTTCCAGAAATTTTTTCTTCACTTCCCACATTTTGTATTTGATATTATTTCATAATACAAAATTGGAAACATCAATTCCAGCAAAAATGTTGGCCTTTTTTGAATTTATTTTGTTTAAAAAACAACTTGATCATTCTATCAATATTAGTAGTAGTAAAATATAAACGAATACATTGTACATTTTAATATGTAATTGAATTTTTATTCAAATATATTACGGGAATTTTTTTCCACATTTCACTTACCCGTCTATTTTCACTACATAATTTAATTATAGTTTAGAAAGTTAAACAAACGATAGAATGGACTTCATTAATTTTGTTTACGTGGAACACCTATTATTTATTTAACGATTATAGTATTGTATCGTATCTGGGCAACCCTAATTTATGAACAGGGTGGATCTGATGCAGATATAAAGGCATTGGATCGGCAAGGCAATTAGAGAACAACAGAAACTTAAAATAACCTACCAAACCAACATCAAAGTCACAATTTTCAATACAAATGTCAAAACAGTTCTACTACAATGGGGCGGAAACATGGAGAACTATGAAAGCCATCATCCAGGTATTTGATAACAGTTGTTTACGTACGATCGTGAAGATACGTTAGCTATACCGCATCATCAGCAACCTAATGTGTTTGAGAACAAGTTAGATTCCAGATAACGAAGAAGTTAGGAGAAGGCGCTGGACGGGTAAAACATGCACATTGAAGGAAGCACCCAACTGCGTCACAAGGCAAGACCTCACTTGGAATCCTCATATTAAAAGGAAGACCAGCGAACACATTACGTCGAGAATCGGAGACAGACATGAAAAGAATGAACAGTAATCGGGCTCAAGGTATAGTAGATTGGAGAATGCTGGCCGGCTGCCTATGCTCCACTGACGAGTAACAGATGTAAGTATATTAAGTATGCTCGGTTAAAAACAGTGACAAAAACACCAACAACAACTACACACAGTTAGTTCACTTCTATAAAAGCTATGCATTTTTATTACATATCAGAACATTAAAATGCAAACAAGGAAAAAAAAGAAAAAATTGCATCAAATCATAAGTATTACGACCAAAGAAAAACAAACAAACAAAAAAAAAATCCGAAAGAAATTCGAATTCATTAGTTTTTACAAAAGAAATAATCATAATGAATGGATAAGATTTGATTTTATACAATACAGGTGAAATACAGCAATATATATATATTTGTAAATGATTAAAAATTGGGAAAGAGAGGGAGAGAAAGAGTGTACGCGCGCACGCACGCACGTAGTCGAGGAATACAAAGCAGTTTAATTAAAAAACATACAGCATTGGTGTGTGTTGAAAAATAAACGCAGGAAATCAACGACGCAATTCTCAAAGGCAAATTAATACAGATCATTTCATTTAAAATAGGGATTAACTACAGCTTGTATATGTATAATGAATGATTTGTGGGTAAAATGCAAATGTTTTTTTTTTCAAAAAATGCAGAATGGTCTTTTTTCCTCAGCAACAACAACAATAACAACACGATCAACAAGAGGAGAATAAAACGATAAACGGGAGATTAGAAAACAGTGTGCCGCAGGTACAGACAAACAAGCAAACAACGGCGGTCAATTAACTTGCACTCCTAAGGGAATAAAAAACAACTAATTTTTCTTACGAAAGAATGCTAATGATGTAATATATACGATGTGATAAAACAAGCATGAAGTGTATGATCAATTTGTTTTTGGGAAGTAAAACACTGTGCGCGCACACACACACACACACACAAAAACGAACAAACAAACAAATTATGACTACTGTTGTATACACACACACCTGTAGTTTTTACAGTTGTTAACTGACAAGTGAGCAAAAATTACAAAATAAAATTAGAATAACAATCGAAATGACAGTCAAGTGTAGATGATGAAAGAGGTTTGGCAAAAGGATATATATATATATATATTCATATTTATATATAAATATTATCTACAAAGTATTGAAGAATGTACGATAAATTTTGAAATGCATACATATATATATATATGTGTGTATATTTTGCATAGTATACAATTAAACATTTGTTTGTGTTCGTTGATTGTAAGAATCTAACAGACTCGTATTGTTATTGTTACTGCTAATACTATGATTATCAAAACTACTACTATTATTATTATTATTATTGTTATGATTACTATTACTTTGACTATGCAAATCAAATGAGGATGAATGATAAAAATGAGATTGTTGTTGGTGTAGATGTTGTTGTGGCGGTGTTGGTGAGGCGTCCCCATAAGAATCCGACGACTTCCCAATACAATGATCATGCAATGATTGATGATAATGACGGTGATGTGAACCACTGTTATTACCATTATTGACAGCAGCCACAGCACAAGGTATATTGAATCGGAAAGGATTGTGTGTTGTTGTTGTTGTCACCGGCGCCACTGTTGCTGGAGCAACAGTAGCAGCAGCAGCCGATGCTAATGATGAATAGTGATGATTCATTGGATAATAGGCATATGATCGAGGTAAACGATAATGTGATATACTTGGCATATGATTATCATTTTTACTATTATTATTATTATTCCCATTATTATTATTCATATATAAACTATGTTGTACTGGTGCTTTTTTATATGGATAATAATCTAATCGCATAGTATCTGGTGATGTGAAACTGATACTACGATTTACAACAGTAGATAAATTTGAAGTTTTCATTTTTTGTTCATAGAAATTGCAATAATGATGTTTATATTGCTGTTGTTCATAAGTGTTATTATCACTATTATTATTAGTATTATTATTATCGTTAGTTGACGAATTCGATCGTGGATAACTAACAACAGGTTTGTTCAAATTACCATTTATAGAATATGACTGATTATTATTAATGAAACAACAAGGTGTAGTACAATGTTCCATTGAAGAATAATTTACATCCTGTTGTGTATGTTTGCTCCCTTCTTCTTGACATTGTGTTACGATTGGTGATTCATATGACAGAACATTGTGATTACAAGAATAGGCAATAAATGATGAAGGAGTGCAATATAGTAAAGAATTTTTTAATGTTTCATCGTAATGATGATTTTGATTTATTGTATCATGGTTAAGATCTGTTTGTAGTTGATGATGTTTTTGAGTATCTATTGAAACATTATTGTCTAATCTATGCATAGGATGACCATTTGGATGAATGTAAACATTATTCTCTGGACAAACATGTAAAGGACTAGCAAAATTTGGCATATAATAATTTGGTAAAGCTGGAAGAAAATTTGGTCGAATCAGATAGGTGGTTTGACAGAGATCCGGTAAACCAACCTATATAGAGAGAGGAAAAACAAAATAAAAAACAGAAAATATTCTTCATTCCCTGTCTTCGATGAGCAGAAGGACTACTTCACATCCAAACAGGGTTAAACTCCACTGGTCACTAAGATTCGGAGAAACTTCCTTACGGAGCTAGTTACTAATTTTAAGGAAGGATTTGTTTGTAACCGATTCGGTCTCGCGTACTGTTACGAGTATGAGGGAGGATGTCACTTCCCGGCTGCCCACACCGTGGAAGGGTTTCTCTTGAGGAACCTGAAAAGCAACGTAGATTAGTGTTGATTTTAACGACCTGGGAGAGTGACAGCAGAGCCCAAGGGACAACTGCTTGAGGCCGGTCACGCATGATCTTTTTATGCGAAGTTTCCAGAGTATTAATTCCGCTCTTGTCCAAAAGGCCTTACTACAGGAAACGAAAATCTGTGAGGTAAGGTGAGTTCTGACATTTTAAGGGTCTACCTTTTCTAACGCCTTCCTTCTTTGTGAGAAGGTAGCATCGCTGCAGATGCTAGTTGTCCAAGGAAAACGCCTTACTGTTATCACAACTCTCTACAGTCAGCAGTAAGACTTCGCCTTCAGATCTTGAGTTGCTGCTTTTCGTCTCACAGTTCCCCAGTCAACCTGCCTGGCATGGTAGGACCTACAGGAACATATGTCCCAGCCAATATAGCTCGATTGGGTCATTACGATAGGCAAGACCGACCACCACATCAAGGTAGCAGCTACGGTCGGAGAGTCATACGATAGTTTAATTTAAATGTACGTGTGCACATCGCTTACTTTGGTTATCACATATCCAGCTTATTTTTGTCTCACAATACGTACTTGACCATGCCTCATCCAAATGCGCTGGCCTACCTGTCTTCACTGCTTCGCTCCGCTTTTACGCCTGCCATTATTACGTCCGTTCGCAAACCGAATGTATTAAATTAATTCATGTAAGATAAAGTGTATTGAACTTTTAGCAATCACCGTCACACAAACAGGGACCGCCTAAGACGACTAATATACGGAAATTAAAGGGCGGATTAATTTCACAGCATAATCAAATGACAGTCAGATCCTGGGACGTTAAAACTTTCTACATCAATTCATAAATCCTTCCTATTTCTAATTTCTGACACTGATGTGTGTCTAGGATTGTTAAACGTAGTGGGTCTTCAAACATCGGTGTTTCACATGCTCAAATACTGCATTTTTCAACCACTTCAATTTTAAATAACCGATAGTTTTATTAAGTCCCTCCTAAAAATGTAATTCAGAGTCGAATAAATAACTCCATTGGTTGGTTGTTAGTATTTTGTATTTATTCTGTTCACAGTATATTGGGTTCTGTATATTGATCGAGTAGACAATTATCAATCGCTAATTTGTATTCTTTTGATTAGTTTATGAATCGATCAATACACTAGTTCCAGTCGATATTGAACTGTTTATTAAATAATTGATGATGATGATATTCAAGCTTAATTCAGTCAGTCTGTTACAATGTAGAACTTCGTTCGGAAGTACATAAGTTTAGGTTAACATACCGTATCTGCACAGAGACTCAATTGTCAGTTCAAATCCCATGGTGAAAGAGATAGTAGAAGTATTACTGGTAATGGAGAAGATTAGGGTTCGAAGATATTATTCAAGAAGTATAATTCAGTGATATAAATTTAGAAAGAGAGAGATTGAGGTGATGATGAATTCAGAAGATTAGAATTTGAGAGAACACAAAGAGTGGATGCACATTGCGCCAGGTCACTAAGACCAACACTAATCTACCTACCTTTTCAGATTCTTCAAGAAACACCCTTCCACGGTATGGGCAGCCGGGAAGTGACACTAGCCCTCATATTCGTTTAATTATGCTCCCATAACAGTTTAACACTTTTCGACATCATAATATGATGAACAGATTATATATATAGTAAACAATGCGTACCAATGCTTTATGTAAGGACAATACATAAATGTATTACTACGAAAAAAAATGACAGTCTAGCAAACAAAAAGATATCTTACTTGATATGGTGTTAAACATGATGGATTTTGTAATGATTTATAAATTTGTTGATGAGTAGTAGTATTAGAATTTGATAAATGCGATTGGGATGAATAACTTGTGGAGTCTTTATCTGTAGGTGAAACAATTGTTTGTGATGATTCAGGAATAATGGACGATGAAGAGTTAGTGTAAGCGGTTGAAGTATTATTATTTATTGTACCACAATTGACAGATGATTCTGGTGTACTGAACGATTCAGTAGTATGAAGAGTATTCTCATCATTAGTTGAATGTATTTGTGAACAAGGAGAAAATGATTGATGTAAGGATGTGTTTAATGATGTGTCACATGGTATTTGTAATTTAGAATTGCTTAAATGATTTCCTTGATCTGATTGACTAATAATACATGAATGAGCTGGTGTTGAAGCGCTAAATGATCGTTCTCTTTCATAAGATACAAAATTCTGTCGAGGCATATGAAACATGTAGGGAATTGTTTTAGGATCCCAAAATGCTGAAGGATTATGAACTATTGGTAGAGAATAATTAGATAAGCCAACACAGTTAGTATGTCCAAAACAAGAGCAAACATACATAGGATTGGAACAATTCATTGGTACACCATACGGAATATAATAACTATTAAAATTTGAAGGTAATGTGTTAGGTGGTCGAATATCAGATGATTCAGTCATTGAAACATTATACTGGCCATTTCGATCATACAAACTCTTATTTGATCTATCTTCAGATACTACACTAGAATGAGGTTCTTTTTCCACAGACTCTACAGTTGGAACATCACTACTTTTACTAAGATTTAATGAGGCATGATCTATTGCACTTGTTACTATACTAACGTCTTGATGAACTTGATCACGTGAACACATAGAAGAAGAAGTTAAATCATTCGGGATGTATGCATCTGTATGTGGTACAACTGCAGGATATAGAGTGACTGCCGCGGCCGCAGCTGCAGCAGCCGCTACTGCCGCCGCTGCGGCAGCATTTCTACGCTCATCCAGTGTTGGCAATTGAGGATAATAGAGAGAATTTTGTACATTGCTCCAGTCTGGTGTAATATATGGCGCATAATAATCAGGGTAATAAAACAGAGGAGGTAATGCAGGATAATGCGTAATCACTGGATGCTGGCCAGTATGAGGGTATGGATGAAAAATTTGCGATGTTGAACCTGGTAATGTATGATATGGTGAATGATTAGTTGGCTGAAGATGAAATTCTGTTGGTTGATTCGAGTGAATAGTTGAAGTATTATGTGCCGGTGAGTCATAAACTGATGAGACTGAATTAAGAGATAGAAAATTACCACCTATAGGGATGTGAGACGAAGAAGTCGGTGGTATTTTGGAAGGTATTGGCTCGCCTTTTTTAGGCAGATCAAAACACGCTGGAAACACTTTAACAGGTTCACATTCTTCATGAGATAATTTTGACATATTAAAAGGTATAGCATTTAGTACTGCATCGGCTGATTCATAAGCTCGAGAAACATACAAATGATGATTACCGGTGGTTCTATTCTCATGCATTAACATACTTTTGTCAACTTCGGATTTAGTGTTTGAATGTTCATTTAATTTACCTTTGGAATTCAAATTACTATGATGATATTTGTTTTGATTAGATGTAGGCAATAGATTCTGTGATTCATTCAATGTATTTTGAATACAACATGTTGGAGAGGTTGATAATTTGGAACATTGGCTAACATTTAATTGTTTCTCAAACTGTGTCATCTGTTGATGATGAAGATGGTTATGTAACTCTGTGTGAACATTATCAATTTTCTCTTTACTATTATTATTATTATTATTAGCAGTATGAAACTCATCAAGTTCTGGACCATCTCCACCGTGTTGATGTTGAATTGAACTGTTACTATTACTATTATTATTATTATTATTTGTTTGGTCACTGTCATCATTGACACGATGTCGATAGTAATTATGCGCAAGATCTTTCGTTGGACTAGATTGTGCAGTGGATTCTGGTACTAAACGAATATTTGGAATGGCGAAAATGGATAAAGCTAGACAAAAGACAAAAAACAGTGAATATACAGACATTACCAGATAAAATCAATCATACATTGGTTATTATTATTATTAATATTATTCATATACAGTAATCAATAGTAGGTATAATGAAACAAGTGACATCAGGGTGTGTGTGTGTGTGTGTGCGCGCGCGCTGGGTGTTGTTCACACATTCTGCTCCATAGTACATAAGTACGTAGACAATGGGAAACAAAATACAGATTAATTATTGGCGAAAATAAACACATGGATTATTATTATTATTATAGACAGTTAGATAATTCTCATTTTTGGACAATTATTACACAATTCTAATATAACAGTACTATCAATGCAACAAATATGAACGTACATATATATGTATACAAAAAATAGAGACATCAAAACACATCATTTATACTACTGAAAAATGATAATGGATATGTCTATTAAGAATTCAGAAAAAAAAATACAATTCAGACGCCTATATTATCTGTTGATATAATGGAATGAAAAATGAATAGGTATAACATTTGAAATTACACTGTAAAGGATTGTCAGCCATAAGTTGATTGTGTAATAATACAATAGACGCTTGTATTGTAGCATCATTTAACCCATAACTCGATAATCCATTAATCCACTATTAATCTGGTTCTGTATAACTGATAAGTTGCTTACACATAGTAAGTCTACAATTCGGTGGCTATGTCATCTGACAGTTCGCGTGCATTACTGTATGAGTTTCGAGTTATGGTTGAATGGAGGAATACAATGGGAAACTTGTCTGCTTTTCATCCTCGTCTTCTGGTTGCCTATTGAGTGAGGAAGGGGAATCAGGATCAATAAGTGTAATGGTCGATATATCAAATGGTGAATAGGTCACTGATCCTACCGGCAATATAAGTGAACCAATCAAAAACCGAACCAAAAAGAGAGAAATTTTAAATTTTTCTTCCTGCCATTGTGGTGCAGTTAGGTGGAAACTAACACGACTGAGAAGCCATGACAAGTATATATATCTCGATCGTAGGTGCTACCTTGACGTGGTGGTCGGGCTTGACTATCATGATGACCCAACCGAGCTATATTGGGTGGAACATATGTTCCTCTAGGTTCTACCGTGCCAGGCAGGTCGATTGGAGAACGATGAGACGAAAAGCAGCTACTCAAGGTCTGAGGGCGAAATCGTACTGCTGGCTGTAGAAGCGTGACTGAAACAAGGTGTTTCCCTCGGACTTACCTTATATCACGGATTTCCGTCTCCCGCGGTAAGACCTTTTAAAAAAGAGCGGTGCTAACACTATACAATCTTCTCATTAGAAAAGGTCGTGCGCGACCAGGCTTAAGTAGTCGTCCCTTGAGCTCTGCGATCACGCTGCCGAGTCGCTCAGACCAATACTGACCCGATTTCCTTTTCAAGTTATTCAAGAAGTACCCTCCCATGGTGGGAGCAACCGGAAAGCGACATCCACACTCACACACTTGACAGCACACAAGACCAAATTAGTCAGAATCAAATCCTTCTTACACCTCTTAATATTGTAAAAACGTTATCAAGTAATCTATTCCCTGAAATAATGAAAGCTGGTCCAGTGGATGATTGGAGATATACATGTAAATCATTGCGAACACTTGAAAGCCACAAAATCTGAAAGTAAAGTGGTTGGATCTCGATGTGATGGTCGTACCTCACTGATGAAAATGAACCAGCTATTTAGTGCTGCTAGGTTTGCAATGATTATGCAAAGACGGTCGGTCGATTCGTGATCTCGATCAGATTTAACAATCTCTACTACAAACCTAAACTAATGAAAACAAAACAACACAATGTGTAAAAACAATAAAATAACCCTCAACTAAAAACTTACTATCTGGCAAACAAGCAAGTTGACCAATCGGTAAATGATTTGAGAAATATGCACTACGCATAGCAGCTCGTGCACTAATTCGTTTCGATGGTTGCAATTGTAAAAATTGCATAGCTAATGATTCAGCATGTGGTGCACGACTAAGACGTGATATGACTCGATGCAATGGTCGATTAGGATAGAAATGTAGACGTTTTTGTTTTGAATCATGATCAGTTGATTTGTGGGAATGTTCTTCGCCGTCATTAGTATTATTGTCATTAGTAATGAAACCGGATGATGATACAGTTTTTGTACGGTGAATAGTTGAATTCATAGTTAAATCACCTAATAATGCTTTGTATTTCGGTAGTTTAGAAACACCAGGCCAAGTTTCTTCACATGGTGTACCCATAACCTAAGAGAAAGATGTATATCCATATATATAAATGTATATATCGTAAATAGAATGTAAGAAAAGAAATTTATTTTATTATTTTTTAACATCTTGATATCATCAATAAATCATTGTTAGACCTCCATTAGAAAGCTGAATGCACTGGACGACCGTTCCGTCCTAGTATGGGACTCTTCAGAAGTGCTCATTAACGACCTCTGCCTGCAGGGGTCGAACTCAGGATCTTCAATCTCGTGCGCTAACGCTTAACCACCTCTAGACCACTGTGCCAGCAACTAATGGTGTTAATGTATAACTTTGATCTTTCTAAGGTTTTGCGCAATCCCATTCATTGTCTTCGGTAGGTGAATGTCTATATACACGACAGGGTGAAACTCCACCAGTCACGGCTTCTCGCTATAACTCCGAATTTCCTCACGAAGACATTTCAAACACAGGGAAAATGTTATCAATGAAAATTATATCAAATTGTACGCAACCAAAACAATAATACAAATTGATTATGTATAAAACTAACCCGAAAAATTTTATCAAGTTGATCAACTGAATCCTTGGATCCAGGGAATGTTGCTACTCCTGATATCATTTCAGTGAAAATACAACCAACACCCCTTTGAAAATAAACAAAATAAACAAAAAAATTGATCATTGGATAGTTTTAAGTGGGCATCATTGATTACAAGAAAAAATAACTTGAAACATGATAACATTTCACTGATATTTTATGACTAAATCATAATTTAAGTGATATTTACGTTTTAAACTGTTATGAAAATATTCAATTCTAATGATCGCTGCTGTCAACTTTGAAGAAAAAAAGAAGATGCAATGCAAAAAATATCCCTTAACGCAACAAACAAACAAACAGAAAATAAAACGATAAGCTTTTAGTTGCTTCTCATTTACAGAGAACAATAAGATTTCTGATGATATCCGCTGTTTGTTATGAAGAATACGCATCAAAAGATTTTTAAGCAGTATTGAAAAGTGGAGTAACAATATAGGAAGCCTTCAAACGAAAAAAAACATTTCGATCAGGAATTGCTTAAATAAGAAGTTATATAACTACTGTATATATAATAATGCGCCAACCAAATCACTCTTGATGGAGATACCCTGGAGGACGTAAAAACCTTTGCATATTTAGTAAGGATCATTGACGTGTAAGTTGGATCTGAAGGAGCGGATAAGAAAAACAAGGACTGAAGAACATTTGGAACTCCAAATATCAAATCAACCAACGCCAAAGTCAGAATTTTCAATACAAATGTCAAAACAGTTCTACTACATGGGGAGGAAATTCGGAAAACTACAAAAGCCATCATCTAGAAGATACAACTATTCATTAACAGTTGTCAACGCAGAATACTTCGGATTTGTTGGCCAGACACCATCAACAACAAGTTACAGTCGGAAAGGACAGTCCGATTCCAGTGAAGGAAAAAGTCGGGAAGAAGCGCTGGAAGTGGATAAGACACACACTGAAGAAAGCACCCAACCGCGGCGTCACAAGACAAGCCCTCACTTGGAACCCTCAAGGTCAAAGGAAAAGAGTAAGGCCAAAGAACACATTATGACGAGAAATGGAGTGAGACATGAGAAGAATGAACATAAATTGAACAGAACTGGAAAGGGGAGCCCAGGACAGAGTAGGTTGAGGAATAGTGGTTGTTGGCCTATGCTCCATTGGAACTAGCAAGTGTAAGTAAAGTAAGCCAATATATATAAGAGCTGTTACTACCAACCAATATAGTCAAATGAATTAATGGGAAAAGACTAAACTTCAGGCGACTAATTATTTTTCCTTATAAAAATAAAAATCACATAATCCCGATATAATACAGGAAGGGGGAAAAAACACACAAACAAATCGATTGTTTTCAAACTAGCACGTCATCAGTATTAAGTAATAGAAACGAAAATGCTTGATAATAGGAATGTTTGGTAATAAATGAAGTCTAGTGTGAATGTAAAAGTGTTCGAAATACAATTAATTAAAACAATAATTTCATGCATCCTGATTGTTGAATAAGTTTAATAAGACAAACTGAACACGACTAGTGGAGTAACATGAATTTAATTGCGAACGATTGAAATTTAAAGTATTATTATTATTTGAACTTTTTTTTACACATTGTAATCAATGAAGTTTAGTTCGGAACAATATGGGAAATACGAAGAGGATATAACGTTCAAAACACTAGACGTTCATTACGCCAAACAAACGTGCATCATGTCTTCTTTGTGGTCACCTCCAAATATATTGATGAAGTTACATGTAATTCTGGAAGCAAGTACATAGGAGGGACCTGTAGCGGTAAATAAATCCGCAAAGCAAACGGCTCTTTAAGTCTTCGACATTCATGCTGACCTTATTAGTTTTAGTGAATACGGCGCAGCCAAAGGCGCATCCGCACCACATCACCGTGGGGCACGGTGTGTAACACATCTCATTGTATCAGCTAGTAAGCTCAATATATAATACTCATTCGTTGATATCTGAACCATCATTCGACTCTCCTCATTTCAGACGTCTAATTTGACTTGGCATGGAGTATCCTCCATTCGAAGACGAAGAGAAGAAGATCTACAAGATTGGCTGGACATATTCCCTATAAGTTGTGTTTGAAAGTAAATTATTTACAAGTGCAATCACTCCAAGCGCTTTCTACATCTACAAAACACAGAATCGCATGCCATGATTTTGATTGGATATTTAGTCATATCGTTACCATATTTAGTACAGTTCTCGTACATTTCAAAACCCAAAATCATAGTCGGTCTTATTTTTCGCACTCCAAAAGTAAAGTGTTCATTCCTTAGTTCGCTCCCTTACTCTTATGTTCAAATTGCAATCTAGGTTAATTAGAAGCAGATAGGAATCAGAGCTTGTGTTTATTTAATAGAAAGGGTGGTAAACTGAAGTAAGATAGTTAGTTATATTATTTTCTAACATATATCAATTACGTTGTCCTTTTAAGGCAATTTATATAAATTAATAATAAAGAGAAAATGAATTAAAACCAATTCTTAGCAAGTAAGTGATAATCAAATTATCCAATTAACATAAAATTCAAGTTCGCGTTGGTGAATGAATATCAATAGAAATTTTGTGATGCATTTTAAGTTATAACTTTATTCCCTCCTCCCCATTTTTATGGTTTCATCTTCAATATATAAATATATGAAATTAATCTTGACTATTATGTTACCCGACCGTGGCTGTTACCTTGATGTAATGGTCAAACTTGGGTATCGTAATAACCCAACCGAGCTACATTGGCTGGAATATATGTTACTGTAGGTTTTATCATGCCAGAGATGGTAACATTAAAAGCAGCAACTCAAGGTCTCATGATGAAGTTGTACTGGTGACTGTGGAGGGGTGAGACAACAGTAAGGTGATTCCCTCGGACAAGCAGCATCTGCACCGATGACTTCTCACAAGGAAGGAAGGGGTTAGAAAATGTCACAACTGGTCGGCGGCCTATGCTCTACTGGGGGTAACACGCATAAGTAAGTAAGTCATCTTACCCCATGAATTTCCATCCTCAGCGTTAAGGCCATTTGAAGAGTGGAGTTATCACTTTAAAAATTTACCATAAAAAGGCCTTGTATGATCGGCCTCAAGCAGTTATTCCTTGTGCTCTGTGGTCACGCTTCCAGGCCGATAAAACTAACGCTAATCGAATTTCCTTATCAGGTCCCTCAAGAAACACCCTTCCACGAAATAAGCAGCCAGGAAATGACACCTGCCCTCACTGCCGCAACAGCAGACGTTGCAGCTGACTGACTGAATTATTATGTTAAATACATTGTTTCCTCTTCTCATTCTTTTTCTATGCCGTATCAGACTAAACTGCACTGATGATGGTAGGTATGTAATAAAACAAATTTAGAACTGTTTGCGTCTAGTGAGAGAAGCCTTGAATAGTAATAAATATTTGTCAATATTCAATAGTTATTGTTTCATTGAAAAAAACAACCAGAAAAATAAAAAACCAAAACTCAAGAAAAAAAAAAGAAATTTACCAAATATCTAATGAAGCTGTGTAACATGTGGAACCGAGTAATACATCCGGTGGACGATACCATAATGTGACAACTTCATGACTATAAGTACGACTAGGTACAGATTTAGCTCTGGCCAGTCCAAAATCAGCAAGTTTCAATTCACCTTGTGTTGATATAAGTAAATTTTGTGGTTTTAAATCTCTATGCAATATATGTCGATCATGACAATAAGCCAAGCCACGCAATAATTGATAAAGAAAAAGCTATAAAGAAAATAAAAAAAAGAGAAGATTTCATCATATGAAAAGCTGGTAAGAATGTAGTCGCAAAGTTAGACATAGAATACTATGTCTATAGGTAAGAAATAAGGTAATGAATTTGCAATAAGTGAGATATTTAAGGTGTGTGTATCAATACCGAACTCGCCGTGCAATGAAAGCTAGTGTAGGAGTAACCTGAAATAAAGCAACAACCGAGCAAGAACACATGACATCAGTTCAACAGATCAGTTGACTGTTCATCTGAGCCATGTTAGTAGAAACACGCCACCGAGTTGAGCTCCACAAGGTCATTGTGACTAATAGTTGGAGATTTTGAGTTTCATGAATTGGAATGGGAGTCATACTGACGCAGATATATTTACTATAGATTAAAGTGGTTGTCACGAACCATTACGGTAAAATGGATCAACTTATTTAATAAAACAAATAATTATTTCAACAAAAGGTAAACCACAATACAAGGTTACCAGTTTGAAAACAAATAAATAAATAATAAACATGCGACATAATATATAATACACTTGTTTCATTGAAATCATGAACTGATTAATGTCAAACGAGGACTATTGAAAACCTGGAGGTATGCAAAGGCCGTTTTGTCCCAGTATCAGAGTCAGCAGTAAGAGTCGGAGCAATAACGTGCGGTTTCGTTTGTGGACTCTTAACTGCTAGACAACTGAACCGGCATCTAACAGTGTTAATGTTCAAGTACATACAGCTAAGGAGTCTAGCGAACTAGGACCAAGTGGCCATTGAGTGCTTTCCAGTTATAAATGGTTGTCTAACTTAGATCGGTTCTTGATTTCAATGAAATTTAACAATCTCTACACAACAATAACATACTGAAAATATACACTTACTCGAACATTGTGTAGTTTAATGCCACGTGGATGATTTTCAATGTATTTACTCAAATCCGATTGCTAAATACCAATAAAAAAAGTACATAAAATGTAAATAAACAGTAAACAGAAAAAACAACCACAGAGCACACATCAATTCAATAATAAGGAAGATAGGTGTGTACCTTTTTGTAACAGAAAACAAAGAGATGAAGTGCAATTTTTTTTTAAAAAAAAAACAGTCAATTGTTGTTGACAAAATAAAAAAAGAAATAACGTGTTTGTTTGTAAAATTACATCATTAGTACTATAATAAAATAGTATGTATAAATTCTACGTTCAATTCACGAACTTTGTTCTGCATGCACGTAAACACGTCAACTTGATATGCTTGAACTATTACGAGTTAATTCTCTTAGGATATTGAATGAATATCCTAACAGACTTCAAACTGAAACTGTCAACGATAATTGTCAACTGAACAGACAATTGAACTAGTTTTAACAAAATATTAATACAGATTATAACAAACAAAACATCTTTCTGGTCTAGTGGACATAAAAAAACTAGATAATTATTAGATGAGCTCATGAGCATTTCATTTTTACAATTAATATAATGATTAACCATTTCTATGTGAATCCATAATTGTGTAGATGAGAAACGGAATAAACGTGACTAAATCACAATTAACAAATAATTAAATTGAAATAGTTCTCCTTATAATATGATCTTGAATCTCGTAGCTGCTACATTGACGTGGTGGTCGGACTTGCTGATCATGATGACTCAACCAAGCTATATTGGCTGAAGCATATGTTCCTATGGATTCTACCGTACCAGGCGGGTCGAGTGAAGAACGGTAACACTGAAAACAACAACTCAAGGTGTCAGAGTGAAGTCGTAATGCTAAGTGACAGTAGAGGGGTGTGACAGCAGCAGGATGTTTCCCTCAAGCAACCAGCATCTGCAATGATGCCTCTTTCTCACAAAGAAGGACATAATAAGAAAAGATCGACCCCAAGAATGACACACCTCACTTTACCCTAAGGATTTCCGTCTCCGGCAGTAAGGCTAGTAGGCGACAATTACACTGAGTAGCGTATTGTTCTCAATAATGATTTTCTTTTCTCAACATATAGAGCATAATAGCGATCAAATAAAATCTACAGCAAGTAGCGTAACTGTGAAAGTCACATTAATATATATATATATATATATATATATATATATCCCTTCATATCACTCTCGAATCATAATTTCGATCCCTAATCTTTTCTATGACCACTAGTGATTATACTATCTCTACTACTGTGAGATATAGACTATCAGTTCTACTTCTCTCTGCTAATGTGATATGGCAACTTTAACTGATGCACGTACATACTGACGTATGAAGTTCTACGTTGTAGCTAACTGACTGACTGACTGGCATCTAATCAAATATTTTTCGCTGGACATTTCACAGGAAGTAAAGCTCTATTTTAAAGAAGAAAAAAAATCTCAAAAAACAGAAACGCAGAAAATAATTAAGTAAAACACTCCTACTACTCTATAGACTTAACCAGTAACAACAACATATGTGTAGATTTTTCTTTCACAAAAAATTTAAGATCAATTTATCTTTATTATTTTTAGGTAAGCAGATGTTTGGTAGGATGATAATATTTTGTAACCAATAAACACATTACAATACACACACACATACACACTAAGATTATTATTCACTGGTATAAACACGAAAGAACTGATTGCTGAAAAGTAACCATAACAGAAAGCAGATCGATAGCAATAAGACAAGATAATTTGAAGATGAGAAAAAAATTAAAAAATGAACACAACTGTTGAATCATCATCCTCAACATCAACACATCCGAAAGACAAACCGATTGAAACGACTTTTTTTTTCTTCACACTTTTAGCACAACACAACGACAGTAGTTAATCGCAATGAATTCTATCGAAGCAAAACCAATTGTGATTACAACACAAACTCTCTCTCTCTACCCCAGTATACTATAATGTATATGTATACAATAATAATGTATGCATGTCATATCATAAACATGTGGTGTTTTAAAAACATTGCATGAAAATGAAGACAATACGAAATTTGAAAAAAGAAAAAAAAAAGAAAATAGATGATACTTCGTACATTGTTCAATAATTGTACAATATCTAGTATTTAGATTTAGTTGATCAATGGTGTATGTAAAGGTGTGTAAATCCTATCCTATCTGCATAGTTGTAGCTAAGTGAAAAAAAAACGTCAAACAGAAAATAAAATCGCCAGTGAGAGAATGATGCTTTCACATATATACACAACATTCAATGAATGAATAAATGGAAAATGCTGGATAGCGCAAACATATTGAATATTGAGAGAGAGAGCGAGAGGGCGATGGGCTACATATTCACGGATAAGTATCGGATCTCAATAAAAAAAACGTCAAGTAATAAACCAACAGCAACATAGAGCTTCGTACTTACGAACATCAGTTCATGTTGTCATACAAGATTAGCACAGAGATGTAATTGTCGATTCGAATCCCATGGTAGTAGAGGTAGTAAAAGGATTAGAAGTAATCGAAGAGACTAGGGTTCAACAATATTATTCAAGGAGTAGAATCTAGTGAAATAAACTCAAAAAAAGATAATGGTGATGAGGAATTCAGAAGGTTAGAACTTGACAGAACACAACGAATGAATTCAATCCTGCGCCACTGTAAATGGTTTTGAGCCATGTCACTCAAAGTCTCTAATCATCGGTTACTATCATCTCGCGGACCCCAACCGATATGACTCAGTCCACTTGTCAGTGACTTCATGGATTTCTGCCATGTTTTTGTCTGGCCATCCAATAAAATAAAGAGGCACAGAATTCTACTGATATAAGAAAAGAGTTCACATCTTCCCTAAACATTTTCATTTTAAAATAATTTTTATGCTATAACTGTATGTTGTGCTGTCAGCCATCACCAAAGTTAGAATTCTCAATAAACACGTTAAAACAGATCTATTGTATGGAGCGAAAACTTGGAGAACAACGATCGGAGAGTACAAACTAGATTCCAGATGAGGAAGGAATTAGGAAAAAGAACTGGAGGTGCATGGGATGAACATTGAGCGAAGAACCCAACTGCGTTACGAAGCAAGCTCTAACTTAGGACCCTTAGGGTCAAAGGAAACGAGGCAGACCAAAGAATACATCACGCCAAAAACTGGAAGCAGACATGAGAAGAATGAACAGCAATAGGGCAGAACTAGAAGGGAAAACCGAGGATAGAGTTAGTTGGAGACTGCTGGTCAGCGGCCTATTCTCCATGGTGGGTAACAGGTGTAAGTAAGTAAGCAAGCAAGTAAGTACTATCATATCTAAGCCCCTAGAATCTTTGTTTACACTGACAGGGAATTCAAAGTACGGAACTAACATCTCAAACTTATGAAAAAAAAGAGGATGGGCGAAAGCTCCCATACAGCAGTGGCATTAGGCCTTGAAGCCCCAATTCCAGGACACCATGATACAGACAAAATCATAGAAGAACTGTTGACTATTCTCTTGCTTGAACATCGACTAACATGTGTCTCATTTTTTTTAAAGAGAAAGATCATTTGCAATAGAGTATTTTGCAACAATCTAAACAGAACGAATAAATATGCAGGTACCTGTTACTGCCACAGATGTTAACAATTGGCACCGTGAAAAGTTCAGAAACAAAATTTTTGACAAATACATATAGCATTATTACTGAACAGAAAACAGAAAATTATCACCGAATGATCCAAAACACAAACACACAGAAGACAAACCACAAAGTACATCTACACAGCATTATTAATGATAAAATTATATTATTTATTATGTGATATTTGCAAAAACAAAAAAAAAACAACACCATACACACATGGTACATGTACAGTAAGTAATAAACAAAATCCTGAAAAAACTTGCACATGAAAAAAAAATAGTGACATTTACACCAGAAACACTAAAATTGATTTTATTGCGCCAATAGACACTGGTCAATACTGACTGATTGATTTCATGAGTGTGTTTTTTGTTCTGGTTGGCGAAGCGTTTTATATTATTTTATTTTATTTCTAAAATTAGATAGTAAGTGAATGGATGGATGGGCGTTTCAAAAATATGAACATACACACACAGAGGGGCAGACAAATGAATACTTGTGCAATTGTAAGTAGAAGAGAATGATCACGATGTCTGAGAAGGAATTAACGAATCCAAAGGCTATAATATGACGTCAGATATCCATATATCAGTGTCGTAATGCTTAATAAGTTTAGCCGATTGGTATATATGATTGTAGTGCCTACACACATATTTGGGTTCGCTTACATTTAATTTGGTTAAGCCCTCTCGATTAATTTATTTATTCAAGTATAGCAACAACTTATATGTGCCATTCGTTCTTATTATTGCCTGGTTTGTATGAGTTCACATGACTTGTCCCACTAGTCTTTTGACCTTGTCAACTATTCGTCGCTTTTATTCATGTGTATGCATGCCTATCTCGTTGGTCACATGTCTGTCTTATTTTTGTCTGACTATAAATTCTTAGTCATGCTCTATCTCTTGGAGTTGGCTCACTGGCCCTCTCCACATCGCTTCATCTGTTCATTCGCCTATTCACTCGCTTGCTTGCTTTCCGGCGCTCGCATGACGATTTTATCTTCAAGCGCTTGTAGTCTGCTGTTCTATTTGTGGTGTGTCAAAAATAAACGTATTCAACACTTCGAGTTCACCTTCTGATTTATAAACCGTCAGACGCTAGTTAGTGACGATTGTCTGGACGAGATAATTACGACGCAGTAATTGGCCACCACATGATTCACCATTAATTAACCAGAAGCACAATATGGTATCAATCAGTCAGTTACAAAGTAGAACTTTGTACGTACGAACGTATATCAGTTCAAGTTTCTATACCACATTACGATAGAAATGCAGTTGTCGATTCAAATCCTATGGCAGTAGACGGCGTAGACGTATTAGCGATATTGGAGAAGTTTACGGTTTGAAGATATTATTCAAGTATAATCCAGTGAAATAAAGTTTAAAAAGAAGAGAAAAATAAAGGCGACGAGGAATTCGGAAGGATTTGAGAGAACACAAGAATGGATGCACCTGCGCCACTGCAAGCAATTTCGAACCATATCATTTACAGTCGTATATCTTGGGACACCCGAGTGAGCAACGCTGTTATTAGGAATCGGGTGCTAGGTAAGAATGGCAGATCAATAGATGAAGTAATGAAACTTCATCAGTTGAGGTGGTTGGGACATGTGTTGCGTATGCCTAACCACCGACTGCCTCGTCGAGCTTTGTTTTGTAGTGTAGGAATAGGTTGGAGAAGTTAGGGGCGGCCAAACCAAAACATGGCAGAAATCCATGAAGTCATTGACGAGTGGACTGAGTCATGTCGGTAATTGTCGACTACCTGGTTGGGGTCCGCGAGATGATAATAATCGATGGTTAGAAACCCTGAGTGACATGGCTCAAAATCGTTCTGAATGGCGCCAGTGCATTTATTCTTTGTGTTCTCTCAAATCCTAATCTTCTGGATTCTTCAACTTTCTAAACTTTTCTAACTGAATCATACTTCTTGAATAATATCTTCTAATCCTAACCTCTCCGATTACTTACAATACCCTTACTACCTCTTCTACTATTGGATTTGAATTGACAATTACATCTCTGTGCTGATGTGGTATGGCAACATGAACTGATGTACTTACGTACGAAGTTCTACGTTGCATCTGACTGACTGATATCATTTACAGTCTCTAACCATCGGTCACTATAATCTCGCGGAACCCCAACCAGGTAGTCTACACTCACGAACACGACTCAGTCCACTTGTCGTCAGTAAATTAATGAATTTCTGCCAGGTTTTGGTTCGGCTGCTCCTGGCTGTAGTTCAACCTACCCCTACAGCACAGAAACATCGCCCGTCGAGGCAGTGGGTGGTTTTGCATATGCAATACATGTCCTAAACCACCTAGACTGATGAAGTTTCGATACTTTATCTCCTGAGCTGGAATAAAAAATTTTACAAACATTCATGTACAAAATAAAGCCCCACTACAGTGTACAGTAATATTAATGATGATACTAGTTATGAGTACGGCAATTTATGTACTAAAGAAAACGACGAGAAAAACTAAAGACATACAATCCATTGAGGTGGAGTGAAGAGTAATGAAAAAAAAATTTTTTTAGGAAAAAAACGAGCATAGAAGTCACATTATTATTGTCATAATTATTATTAACTTACCACAAATTCAAAAATAAAATTCAACGTTTTCTTTGTATGAACAATATCGTGTAAAATCACTATATTGGCATGTCGTAAAGCTTTTAATAATGAAGCTATAAGAAAATCAAATCAGATGAAAGAAATAAATTACATATTGACAATAATATGCATTTTATGCAGATATATACATTACACTAAAACACAGTCTATCACATTTTGGACAGATCTATTCAAATGGATTTATTTTCTCACATGCATTTTGTCAACTACAACGTAGAACTTCGTTTGCACTGATATACATATCAGTTCAAGTCGCCATATCACATTAGCACAGAGATGCAATTGTCAATTTAAATACTACAGGTAGTACAGGTAGTAGCTGTGAGATATACTTAAAAAAAAATAGAAAAAGAAAGGTCACGAGGGATTCAAAAGATTAGCATTTGACAGAACACAAAGAATCAATGCACTTGTGTCATTGCAAACGATTTTGAGCCATGTTATTCAAAGTCTCTAACCAGCGGTTATTAGCATATCGTGGACCGCAAACGCGTAGTCTACACTTAATAACATGACTTCACGGATATGTGACATAGTTTGGTCACATCACAAAAAATCCCTCGTCGGGGCACTCGGTGGTCGGGTATACGTACCACATGTCTCAACCATCTCAGCTGATGAAGATTCAGTACTTCATCAACTGATTCGCCCTCTTTACCTATCATCCATGTCTTATCAACAGCATTGCTTACTCGCCGGTCATAGGATACACAAGTATTTCATAAGGACACATGCTTCTTATTTTTTGAAAGCATGATTTCATTGGCATTTATCGTCAAACTGAGACTGAAAACCGTCAAAGAACTGGATTCCTTCAAGTAACACGTAAAATGTGTTGAACAGTTATGTTAGCGTTTTTTTGGCAAGTTAGATTTCAACGGAATGGGGCCGCCAACCCCATGTCTAACCCTCCTCCTTTATCCGGGCTTGGGACCGGCAGTAGCCCCTAAGGTTCTACTGGCTAACTATTTAGAAAAATAATAGCCAACATACTTGAAACCGAGTACAATTAAAGTTTCTAATTATTCAGAGGACTAATGTACACATGTTAGTTACACTAAGATGGTGGAGAAAATTTGTAGCTCAGGTGGATGTTTGTTGTGGTGTTTCATTCTCAGAGCTGAATGTTTTTGTTGTGAAGCTTTCATTGTTCTTCTGAACAACATTATCAGCACAAAGTTCAGATGGAAGTCAAGTATTCAAATTTCTCCACGTTCGACCTGTAGATTGTTCTGCTAACCTCGATTGTAAGGTCAACAGCAACCAATCAAGACAATGGCAACCTATAGATAGAGACCTTGAATGACATGGCTCAAAATCTTTTGCAGTGGTGCATTTATTCCTTTTGTTCCCTCAAATTCTAATCTTCTGAATTCTTCATTACTTTTATCTCCCTCTTTTTAAAATTACCCCACTGGATTTTACTCCTTGAATAATAAATTCGAACTCTAATCTCTCCGATTACTGCTAATACCTTTACTACATCTACTACTATGAGATTTGTATTGACAATTGCATTTCTCTGTGCTAATATGGTATGTCAACTTGAATAGATGTACGTACATGCCAACTTGTACAGATTTATAGCATTCCACTGTAGATGTTAACCATTGGTAATCAATCTCTTTTCCTAAATTTATCGATACATTGCATTCTAATCAGTCCAGTTACAAAACTTCGTGTTATAAATAACAACACATATAAGCGAACAATATTGTTTTCGATTAGATCGTCATCAGGCTTTACTCTAATATACATGAATATTTATATGAAAATGTTAAACCAATCAAGGCAATTTGAGTGGTTTAACATTTTCATATAAATATTCATGTATATTAGAGTAAAGCCTGATGACGATCTAATCGAAAACAATATTGTTCGCTTATATGTGTTGTTCTAATTTTCACAATGGGAATCTTTAAAATTATAAATAACAACAATATACAAACTTCTTTTGCTTATAATTTGAATGCTTCGAATAAATTATCAATAGTTCTTGTTGACCTTAAGGTCATCAATTAAACAGACGACATTTTCTTCTCCTTTTTTACACATTTGAAATCATCAATCAATCATTGTTAGACCACCATTAGAAACCTGGAATCACTGGACGGCCGTTTCGTCCTGGTATGGGACTCATCAGCAGTGCGCATCCACGACTCCTGCTCCTCGCAGGATTCGAACCTGGGACCTTTGGGATTGTAGGCGAACGCCTTATATTTTCAATCCCATCAATTTAGTTTAAGTAGGATTAATGATTTCATATGACTAAAGATACATCATTGGCGTAAACAAGTATTCGTGTGTTCAATAACCTAACACACACTGTAATCATTGTTATGAAATTTAAACACTGATGCTAATCTATCCTACTGTAACACAGTCTAGGGTAAGTAAGTAGTCATAGACTAAACATAACATTTTTAAATTTCAAAAAAAAAGAAAAAATACCAGACCAAGTAACACATGCATTAAAGATAAAATTTCAAAATAAAAACGGTTGTGTCTATTAGGTCACATTATTTGGACTAAATATTTCATGATATTTTTTTAAACAACGCTTTGCATCATTATTCTACTACATGTACTTAAAAATGTGACAATGGTACAATACAACTGCTGATTTATGAGGAAATTAAGTCTTAGAAAAAAGTTGTTGTTGGCAACAGTTAAGAACAAGTAAGATATTAGATATAGCATGAATTCGAAATAAAAAAGGGATACTGGAAGTAATTCAGTTATAATTCATGTCAAAACTTAAACATAATTAGATCGGTTTAAATCGCAACACCAGCGAAAACCCGTAGGATGAAATTATCAAGAAAAATGTCAGAGTAGTCGAAGTAGTGACAGTGAATGAGCACTGCTGATGAGTCACATTATAGGACGAAACGGGCGTCCAATGCTTACAGGTTTGCAGCGGTGCCCTAACATTGACTGATTGATGGTCCCAATATAATGCAACAACTTCTACAACCCTATAATGAAAACTATAGATAATAAACTAAAAGCCAGTATGAAGTAGCAGGATACAACCTAAAGAGTAATTTTCAAACTCAAGACCGTAAAAAGAAGACCATCTTATAGTCAGTAATTTAATGAAACGAACCTACGTCTTTATTTATCCGACCCCAGCTTTCCTTTAAACTACATCCAATAAAGTCAATATCGTCCGTCAATGTTAGCGGTGGTTACGAATACGTAATACATGTCGCAGCTACCTTTGGTCAGTGTAGATTCACTATCTTAACAGCCGATTATCCATTTGTGCCTATTACCCTGGATATCAGTTCACAATTGCTGATTCGGCAGTTTCAATATACGCTATCAACTATGCGAGAATAAAACAATGAGCTCACTAGTGACTAGCGTCTTGAGGAAATTCTCGGAGTCTTACTGAGATGTGATCAGGTATAGGCAGTAACTACCAAAGACAAATAAATGGATGAGGTCATGCAAAATTCGTATATTGATCAAAATTAGACACTAACACCATCAGAGGCCGACCCAGTGGTCCTCAGGTTAGGCATTCGCACACAAGACAGAAGGTCCTGCGTTTGAATCCTACAAGTAGCAGGAGTCATGGATGCGCACTGCTGATGAGTCCCATACCAGGACGAAACGGCTGTCCAGTGCTACCAGGTCTCTAATGGTGGTCTAACAATGATTCAGTGATGATTAAAATGTGAGAAAATAAGACTGTCGCTGAATTTGAATCGTTGTAACAAAAATGTTGATGTTTTAAATATCATTCAAAGTGAAGGCATGAACATTATTATATCAGGCAAACAGTATGAATTTGACTAAAATTGAAAAAACAACTAATGTAGTTCAGCAAAATAATATCTGTTTTTTTTTTATTACATATTGATATAATCGAATGAAAAGTGAATAAGCATAACGTTTGAGAGTATAACACAAAGCATAGTCGTTCATTATTTTATTCTATAAATAATAGACGATTGTATTGTTTTATATTTATCTTATATATTCCCTCATTTTCAAACTTTTGTTTAACTCATAACTCATTGTTGTACGTTCTATAAATCTAGATATATCGTTAATCAACTAATTCACTATTATTATTATGCTTCTGTATCACTTACAAAGTTGCGCACGCATAATAATTCCATAATTCAGTTAGTATGTTATCTGACATTGCACGTTCATTATTATTGTGTGAGTTTCGAGTTTTGTTCGAATGGAAGAGTACAACAATAGAAAACTCGTCTACTTTCCATTTTTTCGTTTTCTGATTCCCCACTGAGTTAGGAAAGGGCACCAGAATCAATCAAATGGTAAATATGTCACTGATCCTACATGCAACATACGTGAACTAATCTACAGTCAGACTATAGAGAGAAACAATAAATCTTCCTTTCTTGCCTCTATGACACAACACAACTGGAAAAAAACACTACCTTCATCTCTTCCATATCGTACTTATGAACCATATGTCACATTGATAATAATTGGATATGAAAAAATGTTGTCAAATAGTGTCTAGTTTGTCAATTGGAAAATATATCAGATAAATGTACTAAACTTGTAATTCAATTACATAATGCAGAAAAAAAAATGACGTTCTCAACAAATCAAGCGCACTTTCATTTTCAAAACACTGTCAAATCAATTTTTCGACAAATCAAATAGTCCAAAATTATTTGGTTAGAGTGTATATATCTTAGTCAGTTAGATTTATTTGTCAAAGCTTCATGTTTTCTAAAACAATGTAATGTTAATAAAACATGAACCGATGGTGAAAGGTAGTACATTCCCAAATGTCTCATCAACTCCATAACATCATAATCTTGATTGATTGTAAGCAGTCATTAATATGTCATTGGTTACAGACATTACTTTATTTCAAAATGTCTCTTGACAGCTGAATTCTATAACTGATAAATTGTAAAAAAAAACCATTTCCAGTCTATAATATGATACAATTTGTGCCTAATATTTCATATTTCTATGAATCAACTGGTGTTCAAATGTAATGTGAAACGATAAAAGACATGAGACATTGAACAGCTAAAACTAATATTATTACTATTATTATTATTATCATTATTCCAGCATGTGTTTGCACCCTTTACTTCGCTTACTACATGGCCAGCTTATTTTGTCTGACTATAAATACTTAGTCATGCTTCATTGCATTAGGTTAGCTCACTTGCCTTCTTCATCTTGCTTCGCTTTGCTTGCGCATACTATTCTTTCTTATGTCGTCTGCCTGTGTGAACGATTGCATGCAGTAAATTCATCCGCATAACTATATTTGGCTTTTTATTATCGCCATCGCACAAACGGGGTTCGCTTAAGTATGATATATGGAAATTGAAAGGGAGATTTATTTGATAATTATCGGAGTCAGGTGGTGGGTTACTAAAATGATGAACCCTAGTCCGAATCTAATATAGTCGTCAAGCCTGATAAATAAGTAACAGTGTTTCAAATCATATTTTGTTGCATCGATCTACATACATGGACAGTAGTATTAATAACACTCACACAACTATAATAATAAAGTTGTGCACATCAAAATGTTTTTCGTCATCATTAAAGCTAGTATAGTTTATTTGATAAATGAAATTCAATTTGTCTTTGTTTATCTCCGGCCTAGTATGAACCATAGAGTATATATATATAGAGAGAGTTGAGGAGTTGGACATATTTTCCAAGATTTTAACTGTCTAAGTGTGTAATGTAATGTAATTATTGGTAACAATAAAGACGCGATGTGATGAGGTTATATAGACGATTCTTCTTCATAAATACAACCAACTGATAACTTGTTATTCATTTTCTGGATGACAGAAGTATGAAAGTATAGAAGGAGGCTATTCTAATCCTAATAAGAAAGTCAACCCAAGATTATTTGTTGTTAGTATGAATAAAAATAGGACTTTCCACAGGATTTTTAATTGGACAAAAAAATAAAATTCAATGAAAAGATTTTCACACTTAAGGTAATGATCAATAGATATATTATTATTACCTGACTGCTACCTTGACGTGGTGGTCGGACTTGCTTACTATGTTGACCCAACCGAGCTATATTGGCAGGTACATATGTTTCCTTAGGTCCTACCATGCCACGAGACAGATAGACTGGATAACAGTATCATTAAAAGCAACAACTTAAGGTATGAGGGCGGAGTTGTACTGCTGACTGTAGAGAGGCATGACAGCAGTACAGTGTTTCCCTAGAACAACCAGCATCTGCAGCGATGCTGTCTTCTAACAACCAAAGAATATGATTAAAGAAGGTCGACCCTAAAATTCTCACACTTCACATTACCCCACAGATTTCCATTAACGCGGTAAGGCCTCTTGAAGAGCACAGCTAACATTTTAAAACCTCCACATAAAAAGTCCGTGAGTGACCGGCCTCAAGCAGTTGTCCCTTGGAATCCGCGGTCACACTGTCAGTTCTCTAAGATAAACGCTAACCCAACTTTGTTTTTGGTTTCCCTTCCATGGCTGCGGGAAAATAAAACACTGATACGTTTTAACTAATAGTTCTTCAATTCATAAACCTTAATGCATCATTTCCTTGCATTCTGCTGATATGATGTAAAGAAAGAAAATTCACAATAATAATAATAATAATAATCGTAATAACACAAAGCATACCATAAATTATCTACTCCAATATTCCCAAGAAAAAATAACAAAAAATAAACCAATTAAATTAAATGCCACTTATTGTTTTTACTTAAATAATCTAAAAAAAATAATTAGCCAAAGTCAAATTGAATGTTCTATTATTGAAGAAAAAAATTGACAGCTATATTGTTACATTATACTTATTGAACAAATAAACAATTATTTTATTTCATGATTTTTATTTCTGTTTTTCCTGGGAATATGCTACTAATTTCACTATTTCAGTACTATATAGAACAAGATCATCTTTAAGCACAAATAAAAACAGAAATTTAACCAATAATAATAATAATAATAATAATCATTGACCAATAACAATTACCTTCACGAATAGCAGTAAACGGTAAACCTTCTTCTGGATTGATACGTATCTCTTTGACAGCAACAGCACGACGCATAACACTAAACAATGAAGAAGTAAAAGCAAAAAACAATAATGTCATATAAATTATTTTACAACAAAAAGAAAGTTGATCAATAATACTGAATGTAACAATGTTTCAATGAGAATATATGATGCCAACATGAAAAAAGGGATGGCGGTTAATTTCAACCGACTTTATTTGAAATGACATTAAAAATCAATGTAGCCTTAGACATCATCATCACTACTAGCAACACGAATTGAAGGGGAGAAACAAAAAAACAACAACTACTACATGAAACATTACAATATTCAATTGATAATATAAAACCTAAATGATAGTGGGAATATGGTTTTAAAGAATATATGCAGGAGGGAAAAGCATATTGAAGAATATTGATATTAAAAAATAAAGTGCTAAATTAAAACCAAATGTGATTATGCATTTGTAGAACTACAATCGAGCTCAAATTTGCAAATAAATAATTATCGTGTGAAAATACCAACTAGCTTAGTTAATCAGTAATGAAATAACTAGTTTTATTCGAAAGTGTGAGCTAATTATCAGTTATCATATAATGGAGTATAAGGGTAAACAAAATTATATCTTTATTGCTTAAAAAATTATACGTTTAAAAAGTTGTTTGTTCATGTAATTAGTAAAATAGAAATGTTCGAAAGAGAAAGGGTGTAAAGATATTTAATGGTGTGACGCAAGATTGAACTGTTCAGTTCTGTAACACTGTAGATAATTCCAATTACGTCACGATCATATATATGTAAGTTGTCACTTATGTCTGGTACGATCGTACATCAGTTTAAATTGCTATACAACATTAACACATACACACACACACAGAGATCGAATTGCCATAATAGTAGAGGTGGTAGCAGTATTAGCAGCGATCGAAAGGTTTAGGGTTCAAAGCTATGATTCGAGAAGCATATTCCAGTGGAGTCAATTTAAAATGATGAATTCAGAAGATTAGAATTTGAGAGAAGACAAAAAATGGATGCAGCTGTGCCAATGCGAACGACTTTGAGCCGTGTCATTCAAGATCTTCAATCATCGGTTACTTTCGTCTCGCGGACTCCAACCACGTGGCCTACATCAACTAACATGGCTCAATCCAGCAGTCAGTTTTGTCTGGATTTCTTCATCCAAATCTAACAAAATAAAGCGCGGAATAACACACGACCCAAGAAAATAATTATTATGAAAGGGGGCTTTTTAGCAATAGCACTGCTGATTTGAATTATCACAATCTCATGTTACATGCCTCACAAGTGATAGTTGAATGTCGGCAAACTTTAATATTGTATGAGTTTACTGATCCTATGGAAACTTAGTTTATTTCAGAAAATCAAAATACTTGAAAATTACTAAAATGGTTTTGGGAAGAATTCAAACATATTGAAAGTAATTTCCCTCGTTTAGGCAAAGTTGTCCAAATACGTAATCCTAAGCAAAACAGTAATGAACTGTACTTTCAATCTATTGGTATTGAATACCTTTAAACAACATTAGAATAATAATAATAATAATAATAATAATAATAATAATAATAATAATAATAATGGTAATAATCGGATTCTTTCTAAAGATTTGTTTCAATATCAACTGTTATAAACTCTTATACAAAGCTATAAACTAATAGTTATGAACAAAGTAACACATCAAACACGAATGAGATGAACATTATGCTACATTATAGATTAATTGAAATCATGAACCAATCAAATGTTGGAGCACTATTGAAAACTCAGAAGCACTGTACGGTCATTTCGTCTTTACGTGGGACTCCTCAGTAGTATATATCCACAACCACTGAGTCAGAATTCAATCAATCCATCATCATTCATTATCTTCGGTGGATAACTGCCTCACATCCAACACGGTCCCATACTAGGACAAAACGACCATTGAGTACTCATAGGTTTTCAATGATGGTCTAACATTAATCAGTTCATGATGTTGAGGAACCTTGCTAATACTTCTATTATTGCTATCACTCTTGGATTTGAACTGACAGTTACGTCTCTGTGCTGATGGGGTACGGCAACCTGAACTGATGTACTTACGTACGAAGTTCTGCGTTGTATCTCTCTCTCTGTCTATTGAGGAACCTCAACAATCATGACAAACGCACACTGACATTATAAACTAAATGAAATACAAACTATTGGTAATCGACTAAGCATAAATTTATTGATGTTGACATACGAGTTCCAAAAGACATGAGGTCCCCGTCCACCTAGGAATATTGGTTATACACAGCCGAAAAGTCATTAACAAGGAGAAAACAGCTGTCCCATACTTCATGATCAATAATCATCTTACAACTGAAATCAGTTCGTAGTAAGAATAAAACTACGTTCAGTTAGGTGATAGTTCATCAAACAACAACAACATATTTTTTCTTAAATATTTATATCCATCCACAAGTCGGATATTCAAAGGTGAATAGTTGCATAGTATACATGTATTGTACATGCTAGCTCCCAGATTCAAACCATAAATCTGTGAATTTTATGTACCAACTGAAACATTTTTGCTCACTTATGATTTATCACGAGTTGTGAACAACAATGATTTTTGAATATTAAAAGAAAAATGTTATAGTTACGAAGCTAAATGATAGTCAGTCAGTAGTCAGCTACAACATAGAACTTGTTATGTACGTACATTACTTCAAGTTGCCATACCACATTAGCACAGAGAAGCAATTGTCAGTTCAAATCCAATAGTGGTATAGATATTAGAAGTGGTGGTGTTTCGCTCCCTGAGCTGGATGTTTTGGTTGTGGAGCTTTCATTGTTCTTCTGAACAACATCATCAGCACAAACTTCAGATAGAACTGAAGCATTTGAATTTCTTCACGTTTGACCGGTAGATTGTTGTGATAACCTCGAAATGATTGGTTGCTATTGACCAATCAACAAACATCCACCTGAGCTACAAATTTTCTCCTACATCTCATAGTAGAAGTATTAGCAGTTATGGAGAAGATTAGTGTTCGAAGAAGTATAATTCAGTGAGATAAATTTAGAGAGAGAAAGATAGAGGTGATGATGAATTCAGAAGATAACATTTTGAGAGAAGACGATGAATGGATGCACCTGTACCAATGTGAACGATTCTGAGCCATGTCATTCATCCATTACAATTGTTTCTAAGTGTTACTAAGAATTAATTATTCAAAAATAGTCTTATATATTTACATTCATATAGTGTGAACTGAATACCAAAAAAAAAGCCAAACTATATATACTTTACGTAAGAAAAAAAAATCGAATATTGAACAAAATAGTTTAATACATCAGTTGACCTTTTTAGGTAATTTTCTAGTAAATTGAAAATAACAAAACCAAAAAATAGAAAATTGAATACTTGATTGATAGAATTCAAAAATATAGAGGACATTAAAGGTTAGTCAACAATTCTATTTTTTAAATAAACGAATCTAATGTACCTACAAAATTTAGACCAAAACAAAAAATAATCAATAAAAAGAAGGTATAAAACATTTAAAGTGATGGATAAATATATCTACATATTTATAGTGCATTTATATAGTCAAAAATATCCAGTAAATGGATTGTGAAAGTGCACACTAAATATCAATACATATGAATAGGAAATAGACAAAAAATGTGTAATCATGAAACAATTATTGTTAGACCACCATTAGAAACCTGGAAGCACTAGACGGCCGTCTCGTCCTGCTATGGCATTCATCAGCAGTGCGCATCCACGATTCCTGCACCTGTCAGGATTCGAACCAAGGAATCTTTTCCGAGTTCTAGTGGGAAGTCCTAACCAGTGAAGTTCAACCTGTTCGGTTGTAGACAGTAACTACCGAAGACTGTGTATGAGGTTGCGCAAGACCGTGAATTGAATGAAGTTCAACACTAACACCGTTAGATACCAGCTCAGTGGTTCAGAGGTTAGGCGATCGCGCGCAAGACCGGAGGTTCTGGGTTCGAACCCTGCGAGATGCAGGAGTCGTGGATGCGCACCGATGTTTAGTCCTATACCAGGACAAAACGGCCGTCCAGTGCTCTCACGTTTCTAATGGTGGTCTAACATTGATCGATTCATGATTTCAAATGTTTTTTATTGCTTCAAAATAAAATATCTTGTTAATTTCAATGATAAATCAATGAGTTCAATGCAATAAAAAAGAATAGTCTAACTATCAATAAAGATCAATCAATTACAATAATCAATTGAAAAGAAGAAAACTCATAAAGCTAAAACAGAAATCATAATGGTTTATATAAAGATTACTCAACTTTAAGGCACGTTAAATTATGCAATTAGTTATATGAACAAAATAAGCAACCACCTGTCGTAATTTCTGCTTGCTACGATCACGTCAGTCAGTGAGTGAGTTGGTTTTACAACATAGAACTTGGTACGCACGTACACAGCAATTCAAGTTACCAAATATACGATATGACCACAGAGAGATGGATTTGACCGTTCGAACCCCATACTAGTAGCAGTATCATTGAGAATAGGGAAGATTAAAGTCTCTGGCCATCGGTCGCTATCCTCTCACGAATTCGAATCAGGTAGTCTGCACCTACTGAACATCACTGACTTCAAGGAGTTTTACCATGTTTTGATTTGGTCACCCTTAGCTTTCTTTCAGCCTACTAAGCGTCACTAGTTGACATCGCTCGTCAAGGTAGTCAGTAGTTGTCCCAACCATGGGAAATACACAAATAAAGATTTCTTCCACTTCAACAAAAAGTTGAGTATCTAGTATCACACTGTATTACTAGGTTTAAATCTCATACAATCAGAGCCTACAACGTTTCATAAATGAGAATAAACGTTATTTTTAACGCAGTCACTAGCATTTTAATATAGTAGGTGATGATCAACAGCTTATTTAATTGGTCAATAGTAATTTATGACCGGAAATATATATATCGCAAAAATTACTGAGTTCAATAGAAGTGTTTTTACAATTAGGATAGTAGTATCACACTTAGCTAACACAATGTATCACCCACCTACTGATGATCGACTATTCAGCGTTCTATGTTTCTATCTGCATAAATTTTTTTCCATGATAACTCTGTCACTGGAATGGCTTTTATATAACCGCTTCTTTACATAACAATACATGTTAACTGGAGCGCAATAGAGAAAAAGCATTAGCAAAAAAAATATATGAATACCTTTTACGCTAATGTAAGTTATAGTACAGGAAATTGTGGGTTACGGAAGTATGATAGAGGGAAGAAAGAAAAACACATTGACACATTATCTATTTTTTTTTTAATGTCAGTAAATAGTTTTACGGATAAATGTGTTTTACACACAAAATTAATAATCATTTTACTGAAACAGAGATCAAACGACCTGTAAATATGGAATAAATGAAATAGAATGTGTTTTGTTTCATATGATGTAAAATAAGTTAGAGTTTTTTTTCTTTCAATATAATAATATGCATTGTTGGCCTACATTTTTGGAGGCGAATTACACAACCTTGGGATGAAATAGCATAGGAAAATTTTATAAAGTGAATATACTACTAAGATATATCAATTATAGTAGTATATTCATCCGTTCATTAGATTAAGTTTAAGTATGCTTATAATAAGTATAACAAGCTTGTTGATTGCTTTGCTTAGTGATTCAATTTGTATTATGCGGTATTACTTTTGAAGGTCATTCAACGGTTAGTATTGTTTTTGAGTCATAAGAAAGAGCTGACAGTTTTAATCAAAATGATAATTACATTAGATGGACATCAAAATTTTCCATAGTTTAGGATCTTAATGTAAACAAAAAAACACCTTTAAATGAAAACCCCATGAAAATACACAATAACCAGGTGTTAAATATGAACAAAATTCGTAAAGATTGACAATGAAAGAATGTCCGAACCTTATATTTCTACATTAGAAAAGAGGTGAAATATTGAAATTTCATATGCTCTCCTGAAAAATAGAATCTGATCAGACATAAGCAATGCGAAAACTAATACGTATGTGTATTAGATAAAGTTGTTGTATTCTATCAGTAAAGCAAGATGAATTTATCAAGATCAATACTAAAGTGAACGAAGTAGTAATATTTTCTGTAGTAATAGGAAGTACTAGATAGTGATAATATGGTTCGAGAAGAATGAACCAAAGATTAAATCAATTTGCAGCATTGTTAATAATTCCAAGGCACCTCATCCAACATCTCTCTAACCACTGGTCACGATAAGTGCTAGCAAACCCAGTTGGATAGTTTCATCTGTAAACATGACTGAATCCAACAGTAAAATCATACATACACAGTCAGTCAGTCAGTCAGCTACAACGTAGAACTTCGTACATACGTATATCGGTTCAAGTTGTCATACCACGATAGCATACAGAGATGGAACTGTCGATTCAAATGCTAGTAGAAGCATTAGCGGTTATGAAAAAGACTAGTCTGCAGATATTTTTTTCGAGGAGTACATCACAGAGGAATCAATTTAAAAGGTAGAGAAAAAGAAGTGGTCATGAGGAATTTAGAAGATTAGAGTTTGAGAGAAGACAATGAATGAATGCACCTACGCCATTTCAAACGATTCTGAACCATGTCATTCAAGGTCTCCTCTAACTATCGATTACTATCATCATACACAAAACACACAAGTAGATAGATGATGATGTTTCGCAGTATTTAATAAAAAAATTCTACATTCTAATAAAATTGAAAATAATAATTCGTCGATTTTTTTTTAATTTTTATCACAGCAATTATGATTCTGAAAGAAAGCGCTTCTAAAATGATTAGCCAATCTTCAACTATTAGTCTAATAAAATAAAATTTATCGAAGTGTAATAAAAGGAAGAAAATTATTCTCGGTAAAAATATAAACCCTTCAAGGTATGAAGAAAAAACAAATACACAACTAAATTTTTCACTGAAAAACAAAAAAAAACTATTTTATGACACTAATTGAGGGGTGGTTAGCATTTTTTTTCTTCAATCAGACTAAAAGAAAGCTTGTTTCTTTTTTTAAAGTTAAAATTCATTAAAATAACCATAATTAATTTTTGTGCACTCACATGTGAATTGTAGAATAATGTATTACATATTCACTAATATTATTCATTTCAATCAGAGTTATGGAAATAAATGTTGTAATCATCAATCAATCAATCAATCATGGTTAGACCAACATTAGAAACCTGGAAGCATTGGACGGCCGTTTCTTCCTGGTATGGGACTCATTAGCAGTGCGCCTCCACGAATCCGGGACCTCGTAGGGCTCAAACCACGGACCTTCTGTCTAGGGCGCGAACGCCTGTCCCCCCGAAACCTAGAACGGTAATAATGTCTAACTCTGATCAATCTGAAGACTGCGCGATCTTACCCATTTGTCTTCGGTAGATACTGCCTATACCCAACAGGGTCCATCTCCACTGGTCACGTCTTCTCAATAGAACTCCGAGAATTTTCTAACGAGGATAGTCACTAGTGAGCATATTTTACGATATTTTCAATTAGTTATGGAGATTAGTGTTTTTTGCACATTGAAACCATCAATCAATCAATTATTGTTAAAACACCATTAGAGACCTGGAAGCATTGGAGAGCCATTTCGTCCTGGTATGGAACACATCAGTGGCAGTGAGCATCCACCATCCATCAATGATTGATTGATGATCGCAATGTGTATTATTATTATTATTATTATTATTATCGAATCGACTTAAGGGAGAATCTAGGCTGTGTTAGTGTAATATATGTGTTGTGCTTGTCTAACTCTATTGATTATCCCAAAATATGCTTTACTAGTAGCAGTCAGCATAGATGATATGTAAAATTAGAGATACTTGATGTGAAAATCCAGAAATAGGTTATATGTTTAGTTAGCAATCGGAAATAAGGCATATCTTTTTAATCTTAAGGAAAAGGATTCTCGATGTAAGATTTGACAAACCTGATCATCATGCTTCAGTATCTGATATGTTACTAACTCACTGATTTATAGGTCAGCTGCTGATATGAAAGACCTGAAGGTGCTGGAATCGATCCATGATGGGATCTCATGTGCCAACTAAGATGATTAGTCTCATGAAAACATTATACAAAGCTACCTGGTTTTTGGTAGTGCTTCAAGGTTAGTCCGTGATGTAGACAATACGGTTTCAAGAATATTGACAATAATCAAGAGGATACGTTTCATAATTCGATTTCATCTGAATTCCTCATCACCTCTGTCTTTCTCTGTATAGATTGATTTCACTAGATTCTACTTCTTTAATAATATCTTCGAACCTTTATCTTTCCGATTACTGTTCATACTTCTACTATGTGTACCACTATGCGATTTGAACTGACAATTGCGTCTGTGCTAATGTGCTATGGCAACATGAACGTAAGTATGTACTGACTGTCTGAAAAAAACATTGAACACCTTCAACATGATAAACGATAAGAATGTAAATGACAAAAATTATTAATTGCACACATAAAAACCTGCATAAAGGTTAACAATAATAGATCTTTCTTACTATGAATATCCTCTATATACAGTTGCATAAGATCCTTCGCCTAGAACATCTAATTTTTGATATGAATCAACACAACCAAAACTACGTGATGAAGATGACCGATTATGCAATATCCGAGTTGGTGATTGTGAATGAGATTGAGGTGTACTATTAGCAGTTGACGGAAATAGAAAATCTTCACTAGCTCTTTGTGATTCAATATACTTTGCGTTAATGTGTGGTTGTGAATTTATTGATTTTTTAATCAGTGTAGCCGGAGAGCCACGTCGAAAAATACCACCAATATTAGTTGAAACATGTGCGATATCTTGTTGTGAAGGTGAACAAGTTACATTAGGATCATGTAAATTGAGTAAACCAGCTAAACGTAATTCTAAAAAGAAATATATATGTATGTATCATTGAGAGAAAGTAATTATTCAATCAAAATTGTAAATTTACGACATATTCATAAGAAAACTAATACATCGGTAGTGTCAGAAATGTTCACTCCTTCATCGCAACCACGCTTGTTGTATCAACAGAAGCAATAATACTAGTTAGGTGTTCTACTCAAAGGAGGAAATTAACTGAATTGCAGAAAATGATCAATTAGTCAGTCAGTCATCAACACCGTACGTACATTATTTCAAGTTGCCATATCAAATTAGCACAGAGAGATGTTATTGTCAATACAAATCCTTCGGTGGTTGAGGTAGTAGAAGTATGAGCAGTATTCAGACAGATTAAGGTTTGAAGATGTTATTCAAGGAGTATGATCCAGTGAAATAAATTTAAGAAGAGGAAGATGATGGTCATGAGGAATTTAGATTAGAATTTGGCAGAACAGAAAGAATGAATCCACTTGCACCACTTCGAACGCTTTTGATCCATGTCATTTAAAGTTTCCAACCATCGGTTATCATTGTTTCGCGGACCCTAACCAGGTATTTTACACCTACTGATATGGCTCAGTTCACTTATCAGAAACCTCATGGATTTGTGCCATGTTTTGGTCTGGTCATCCCTAGCTTCCTTTCAGCCTACTCCTACATCATAAAACATCGCTCGTCGTGGCAGCCGATGGTTGGGAATACGTAGCGAATGTCTCAATCATCTCAACTGATGAAGATACAGTACTTTATCAATTGATTTGCAATTCTTACCTAGTACCCATTTAATAACAATTGCACTGCCTACTCGATTGTCCCAGGATATACGAGGACATAAAAAAGTCACAAGGTAATGTCAAACAATCACATGTGTTTTATTGACAGTCATTATTTTCTATGCTACTATGGTAGTTAGGTGTGATGTGGTTCTGTACTATGGGTTCAAAGAGTGAATGAACGTAGTTCATAACTGTTTACAAACTTAGTTATGTTAGTTGATCAATCAGTCACAGACAAATGAAGATCGAGTACATAACTCTTATTGTAAAAAATCGTACGATTCCCTCACTAGTGACTAGCTTCATGAGAAAATTCTCGGAGTTTTAATGAGAAGACGTGATCAGAGGAGTTTAACCTTGTCGGATGTAAGCAGTAACTACCGAAGCCAAATGAGTGAGGTTGTGCAAAATCTGCAGATTGATCAGAGTTAGACATTAACATCGTTAGATGCCGGCCAAGTGGTCCAGAGGTTAGGCTTTCACGAGCAAGACCGAAGGTCGTGGGTTCGAATCCTACGAGGTGCAAGAGTTGTGGATGCGCACTGCTAATGAGTCCTATAGTAGGACAAAACAGACGTCCAGTGCTTCCAGGTTTCGAATGATGGTCTAATAATGACTGATTGATGATTTCAATGTGTGAAAACATAACTCAAATTAGAAAAATGATACTTAATGTTGAAATTAGAGGGAATTTCTTTTTCAAAATACTAGATATTTGAATCTTTTCAATCAATCCTAAAAAGTGTCCATAACGAGCATCTTAAACATTCTAACTAAAATTTCCATACTCTCTGTAACTGACTTTATAAACTAATGGGCATACTTTCATTTTTTTTTTAACAGTTTTCAGTCTTACTCCGATCTACTCCCAATGTTAACTAATGTTTCCTGTTTAATTTGAATAGTCTATGGTCAAAAAATTAACACACATATCGATCATCAATCGACGCGTAACCACAGGATTCTCATCATCTAGTAATCACAGCATAGACAAGAAATTTTTCAAACGTAACTGTAATCAAATACTACAAATTTCATAATATGTCACGAAAAATTAACAGAACATATTTAGTTATAAAATAAAATATGAAGAACCAGACAGTAAAAAACAAATATGTATATCATGCCAAAGAGTACACATAGAGAAAAATAACCATTCATTATTTATGCATTAAACTACCTTCAGAATGAGGCCGGTTAAGAAAAGCACTCGGAGATATTTTCATTTTATTTACATCGGTATTCGATTTGGAATGTTTCGTTTTCCGTGAACGAGATTTACTGCTAGCTAACTGTGGTTCACCGCCACCGGTAGTAGTAGTAGTATGACGAGTATTACGCAAAATATTCCGATGTCCTTTCACTTGTTTCACGGTAGTTGGTCTAAACACAACAATAACAACGAGCAGAATGAAAACATGAAAATTTCAGTCGAATTACAATCGGAAAAAAAAACCAGAACAAACAGAAGAAACAAAATTCTTGTCTTCCTTATTTGTATGTAACATGTTTGGCTTAAACTAACGCTGTCTGTATTTTTCATAATGTATCTGATGTATTTGAAAAATTATGATGTAACATATGATATGAATTTGTTGTAAAATTTGTCGGGGGGAGTTGTGTTTTTCTGTTTTCTTTTTTTGATTAAGATTAAAGGATAAAATTACACAAAAATGTATAACAAACAACACAGGCATCAATAAAACCTAATCAAGAAAATAAAAATTGGTGTCTGTTGTAAAAAAAAAAGAGGAGAAGAAAATCACTGTTAACAAATTCCATGTATGATAGAAACACTGACTATGCATAAGAGAATTAACACATCAAGATTAATATTTTAAATAAATTGCTTCTTTTTTTTTCTATTATTTTATTCAAAATATGATTAATAGCCTAATTATTTATATTAAGCTGATCGAATGTCAAACAAATCATTCGGTTTTTAACTAACTATGAGAGCCTATAAATTTGTTCTACTACATGTGTAGTAGTGATTGTTTAGTACAGTTTCATAATGAATATAAATGTGATTATTAGTGAGGAAATTCTCGGACGTCTAGTAAGAAGATTTGATCAGTGGAGTTCAACCCTGTCGAATGTTGGCAGTTACCCAACGAAGACAATGGATGAGGTTGTGCAAAATCTCTAGATGGCCCATGAGGGGTTTATTTTCGTTTTTTGTTTTTTTGTTTTGCGTTTGTTTTTTATTAGACATTTTACACTTTCGGATGACGGCTCTCTCCCAGTGGCCTCAGTTCAGTGGTCCTAGAAGTTAAGGTTTCAGTTGTTTTTTCCGCGTTGCAAGCCTCCTCAAAACCTAACGGAATTGCAAGGCCTATATGCAGTCCTGTGAGTAGCGGGAGGGAGTAGAAAGAGTCATGGATGAGCACTGCTGATAAATCCCAAACCAGAACGGAACGGCAGAAGGAACGGCTGTTGTCTGCCCTCTCTTCTGTTCTGTTGTCTTTGCTTTCTGTTTGTCCAATGCTTCCAGGTTTTTCTAATGGTGGTTCTAACAATGCGTGATTCACGGCTCCCCAGTCGACAATTAATACAGTACTATAAAATGTCAATGAGCTAAATAAATGGAAGCCATTGTCCTAGTCAAAAAAACTGGAAAAAAGTATGAATTGAACCATAGCAAATATGAGATGGTTAGCAGGATTGTTGCACGCGGGGCGCTGATTCCTTGACGTGCGGGATGTTTTATGCTTCTTTGTGCCGATAGGATTGTGTGCGGTGTTCTGTACGATGCCGGGATATGTTATGTGAGTCTCTGGATTGGCCGAAAACAGTACCGTCTAATCTATAGTAGGAATAGTTGACAAAAAGAAGAGTGATAAACCGTCGACGAGTCTGAGAAGGTTGATTCAAAACCCATCTTTGACAGTGAGTTCTACCCCGCCGTATACTACTCATTGCGCTCCTTGCTCATGAGATAGTTGGATTTTTGTATAATATATTTGAAAGGACACACAAATATCCATGGTAGTGACTTCGTTTCGTAATTTAATTCATTTTTTTGTCACTGTTCTTTGCTTTTTTCTGTTTCTGCTTAGTTATTTTTTTTCTTTCAATATTGTCTTATTTTCTTTTTTTTTTATTTTAATTTTTTCTTACTTGGGTTCCCCCGTTCAGTCCTGTTTTTTTTATTTTACCTTTTTGTCTTGGTTTACTGTTTTCTCCCTTTTTTGTTATACTGTCTTCGTCTTTTTCTTTTCTTTTTTCTTCGTTCATTGGGTTTTATGTTATGAAGTTTCCGGGATGTCGTACAAATAATCCCAACAAAATTTGTTCGTTTTCAACTTATTAGTCCTTCTTATTCTTATCGTTGTTGTGGCATTCTTCTCTGGACTTATCAATTTCGTATCCTTTTCTTTTTGTGGTTTTTTTTTTTTTTTGTTTTCGTTTTCTCTTATTTATTATAGTATTTTTATTTCTTATGTTTTTTATTTTAGATTTATATTATTTTATTTATTTCTTTTTCTTGGTTATACTCTCAAATACGCTATGGGAGCCTAACCTGCTCGTTCAGACACACCGTCGCCCGTTCAATCATTAACCTAAGACGGGAAGACCGAGAGCAAGAAGACTCAGGATGGGAATGAGCTTCAACAAGAATAATTTAGTACATAT